TTATGATATTGGCCATTGTGCAATTGTCATTTCGCTTGCAATGCGAATATTTTTTGTTTTTTTTTTTTTTTGTTTTACCGATGATTTCCTTGGTTTCGTCATAGATTTTTAGATTTTAAATAACAGACGAAACTGATTTCTGCTTGTTTAATGAACTCTGTTACTAACAAATAGCGTGACTACCTACGTTTATCTTATGAAATTGATGGTAAATATCACCATACTATAAAGTGACTGTATTCTTAATTAAACACCCTACTCGAACAAAAAGTGGCACTTTAAATTTCAATTTATCGCAAACGGATCCCTAAATCAAAAAATAGTCTTAGAAACCCTAATGTAACTTTAAAGGACCTATTTAACGATATCCCACACGATAGGGTAGACGATGAAAAATAAAACATCCCCAGGTTACATGTATTAGAGCTACCCTAAAAAAAATATTTTTCAACATTTTATTATATCATTTTTTCGGCGTGATTGATATACATATCTCCACAAAATTACAGCTCTCTAGTACTAACAGTCTCCAAGTAAAACTGGGGACGGACAGACAGACAGACATGAAGAACAGCTTCACTCTCCATCTGTTCAACCATCCTTATGGTGATTGTAGATATATGCGTCAGCAAAAGTAGCGTGCTTGCCATTATTGACTGCTATGTTTTTGTAGACATTTAGTTGTCCCAAATTAGTAAAAAAATTATGTTTTTATGAAGATTACACCAGAAAACCTCTTTTAAAATTAAAATATTATTTATTTTTAATAAAATTGAAATCAATATATTTCATTATCCCAACTAGCTATTGAATTCAAATAAAAACTGGCAATATACATTAACAATAGGCTTTATAATGGTATATATTTTGCTTCTGTACAAAGAACTTGGTAACAGTACCAACCCCCTATACAAAGTGGTTGTTCTCCTTTGATCCGATTCCATGCAGCCTCTGTATGTGACATAATATTCTAAACACACAAAGTTTTGCAGTCATAATCTCAATTAGGGCATAGTTTGAACATGGTGAGGGGCTCTGTTACTTTCTTACCTTATAATTTCATTTAAAATAAATTTATAGTTTATAGATAGGTTAATTAATATACGAGACTATAGAGTTGATGCAATCTGAAACAGTTCCAATAGCATCACCATTAACTATGAAATAGGTACAATAATTTCTAGAAATAATTATCTTTAAATATATTTTGATAGGTACTGCTTATATTAATAATAGTGAGTTTCTTTAAATAAGGAAGTACAAACGCTTCGAAAACAATTATAATGTGTATAATAGTAACTTATGGGAAGCAATATTATATTGGTTGTATTAGCACCATGAAGATGTTTAGACAACAATAAAATAGTTGGATTGTTATATTATCATTTATACCTAGTCAGATTATTTATTCATTATGTAACCATTTATATACCAAAATGAACTTAACAAAACATAGATTCTTATGACAATAAAGTTAATTCCGAATGACCTCCGTGATTTTGAATACAGGTCTTCAACCTGCGTGGCCAGTCGTTTATCGCAGCATGAACGAGGTCCATGTCAATATCGGCGGCTGCCTTAATCAAGGATGTCTTGAGTGACTCCAAATTGGGATGAGGCTTTGAGCACGCCTATTTCTCCAAGTGTTGCCATATCTTGTAATCTAACGGACTCAAATCTGGACTGGAGGAGGGCCAGTCTTCGTGTCGGATGAAGTCGATTTCACACGCCGCTAGCCAGTCTTGTGTGCTCTTCACTCTATGAGCTGGCGCCGAATCTTGTTGGAATACCCAATGCCTGTTATTGAACATGGTATGAGAAGCAGGTTCCACAAGGTTTGTCAGGACTGTATTTTGATACACAACTGCATTCATTTTTATACCTTTCTCACAAAAATGTACCTCTGTTAAGCCCCAATAAGAAACTCCAAACCATACCATGAGTGAGGATGGAAAATGACCTCGTTGGACACGCGGAATACGGTTGCCCGCTTCTACACTACTGTGTGTGTACACATTATCATTTTTGTTTGTTGTAGCTCTCTCCTACGGTAAAAATTTTTTCGTCCGAAAAAAGAATTTCCCGATATTTTTTTCCCGCGTACCGCTTCAACAAAGCGCGGCTTCTCTTCAGTCACAGTTCCATTAGGCGAGCATTCAAACAATGTCCTGTTTTTCTTCGATATGCCCGAAGCCCTAAGTCTTCATTTAACACCCTTTTCACCGTGGTTTTGCTTAACCCCATCTGAAGGACCAACAGTTTCTGCTTACGTTTGGGATTTCTTTGAATTCGCGCCTTCATAGCTTTTATCACTGCTGGAGTCCTAACAGACCGAGGGTGACCACTTCATGACCTGTCATCTACACTAGAGTCTTCATTGTTTCGTTTGATGGTACGATAAACGAATCTTTTGGTTATATTAAAATATTTCAGTATGTCAGAAATTTAAATTGGCGCGTAACCGCAACGATGCAACGCAATAACTGCAACACGGTCTTCTTTAAGCGTCCACTCCATATTTAAAAATGAGTAAAATTCTAAAAAGTATACATTTTTATTTTCATGAACAATTCGAAATTCGAATTTAATAAACTTTTTTGTGGCCAGCATTCTAAAAGAAAAGTTTTTACTGTGTGACAATACTTATGACCTGAATGTGTATAACGTTCTAATTCTAAGAACGTTAATTTAGGTCATCCGTGTGTGCAACACGGTGCTGAATCCCACGGCAGTGTGCTGGTCATCAAGTTCAAAGTCGTTCAGATGTTTTTTGGACAAGGTCTTATTTGGTGTTTCTGTGCAAGATCGTGTTCTCAACCAGACGAGACTATAGAAAACTCATAGCATATCACCCGCCGAACTGGCAGCTGTTACAGCAAGCGTTTTCTAGAATGGTGACCGTAGGCAAGCGTAGTCTCGAGGTGTGGTGACAACACAGGATGGCTAGCAGTAACTAGAAGAATTTAGGCGTAACAAAGTGGCATGCACTTCGAAAGGTCTATGTCCATCAGTGAATTGATATGGACACTATTGATGATGATGATTAAGAATAGTATTGTTTTAGTATTCTTAATCATCATCATCAGCCTCCCTGGATTAATGTCTCTAATGCTGGAGCACAGGCTTTCCCTATCGATAGAATAAGAAGAACGGGCATTGGCCCACCACGCCGTCCCTGTGTGAAATAGTGGATACTAACTAATGCAGATGCAGCTGGGTCCAAGAATCAAATCCTATGCACCATAAAGGAGCTCTAGAATATTAAATTTTGGTAACCCATCTTATGACCAATCACTGTAAAGTTTCGTGACCTTTACGATAGCGAACTGAACGTACTAGTCGATGCGTCATCGAACTTCTTGACTTTTTTTAATTAAACAAACCGCTATTTTTTTGTGAAACTATGATCATTGTTCTTTTGTCAGAGGCAGGCACAAAAATTCTGCAATTGTTGTATTTTGTGCACGGCTTTCCGTGATTTTGATTCAATATTCGATTAGTATATGTTGTATGAATCAAAACTGATTCAAGAGATTGTATCAACGCATAATAATATTTAGGGAATAACGTGTCTCATTTATTCCTTTTCTCATTTTTTACAATTCTAATTCAATTCTTTGGATCTTTATAAATATTTATAGAGGAGCTATAGAATTAATATTTCCAATTAAATTCCTACAGGTTTCAAAAAGTTTTCACTCCACAAATCAACATCGACTTTACAGACTACAACTACTTTTAGCCAAATGTAATCAATTTGGTTATGTATTACTTAGTATGATCACTCTTATGATATTGTTTAGTGCTTTACTCATTACATCTGTAAACGACCAAGCCAAAATAGTCTACTCGTAGACTCGTACCTGCTTTAATTAAAAAGGTCTCATTTCCGCCATCTGCTTATCATTTGGATAATAATGGGCCTTATGTATATAACAATATAGATAAACTTTAGGACTTTACCAACTAATACTATCAATTTGTATTCAATAAAGGATCCGATTAATGTTTTTTTAAAGCCTGATTAAATAAATTTTAGTTTATAGAAAGGATACCTTGAAGAAAGTGGACTAATTCTTATCGGCAAAATATTACTAGAAAGAAGTAAACTAGAGGATACAAGATTGCATGAGAAACCATTACATTAGGCAGACAAAAAAAACTTGAACTTGTTATCGGCCAAGTTCTTTTTAGATTTTAGTATAATTTCCTGACACAGTGATCGCTAAGAAATAACTTTGTTTTTTTAAAGGTTAAGGAATTTTTATGTAGGCCGGTTATCGTGTGCTTGACCAAATTTTTTATCTCTGGTTCATTGCCACTGTAGGAATGTCAAGAAACGCTACGTCTTTAGTCCTTTGTCGTCAACTGTTCCTTCCTCTTATTTGATCTTTGCCATGGCTGTATTCATCATCATCAGCCTGTTAATGCCCCCACTGCAGGGGCTCAGGCCTTCCCTATTGATGGTATAAGGTTATTGGGCTATGTCCAACCACGCGGGCCCAGTGCGGTACTAAGGGTTGCAGAATACAGTCGGAACCAACAGCTTAACTTACCTTCTGCGGAGGAGCTTCGAGGACTTTGCGAAAGAATTGTTATAATTTTCTGTTTGCACAAAATTAAAAAATGTTTTTTTTCTTATTGTTATGTTTTATTTAAAAAAGTCCTAAAAAAATAATATATCATCACCTAAAAATATAATTGGTAAACCTAAAGGTTAGGTTAAGTTACCAATTGTATTTTTTTGAGGATGAATTACTATTTTTTAATGATCATTAAAAATTGTTCCTTTTAAAACCAGGTTACTTACTAGATATTAATATCGAAAAATAATGGTTCGATTGAAACGTGAAACGTGAATGTACGATTACCTCTAACAATTTCTTTAGATTGTTACGTTGGTTTTAATTTTGTTTTTTTATTTTCATTTCAGTTGATTTATACATACATGATCAGACAATTCGCACACTGATGGGAGTTAGCGGTATTGAACTGGCAAGATGTCTTTTAGGAATTATGTAAGTATACATTTAAGAACTTTTAACGTACATCGTTCTCAAAACATTTGTAGCTATGGGTTTAGCGAAGCGTTAGTTTATCTGTATATTGCTGCCTTGACTTGCTTTTTTGCACATTCATATAAACCAGAAACCCCTTTATTATTAAATGAAGAATAAGCTTGGATAAGTTACTCATTATTTTGTCTCTGTTCATCTATACTAATATTATAAAGAGAAAAGGTTTGTATGTAAATATGTTTGTAACGAATTGGTTCAAAAAGTAATGGACAGATTTCAAAAATTCTTTCACCATTTGAATGCTACATTATCACTGATTAATATAGGCTATAGTGTATTTTCAAAAAAGTTAGGGTTCCGTATGAAAACTTCGATAATGTAACCCAATGTGTATAAAAAATCACACTAATATTATAAAGGCGAAAGTTTGTGAGTGTGTGAGTATGTGAGTGTGTATGTTTTTACTTCTTCACGTCTAAACGGCTGGAGCGATTTTAATAAAATTTGGTATGGAGTTAGCTGACACCCTAGATTAACACATAGGCTACTTTTATCCCGAAAAAATGTTAGGTTCCAGAGGGATTTTCGAGAAACTAAGTTAACGCAGACGTAGTCGCGGGCGACCTCTAGTACCAAATAATAGCCTTATATCACGTACGCTGCGGAAGTCATTGCTAATAGAGCAACGTGATGTACTGAAGTTTTATAGAGGATACCAATATCTAAAAAACGTCTGCAACACTATATGTCTAACTATTACAGTTATGTCACAACTAGAGGTCCCCTGTGGTTTTACCCGTGTTAATTTGAAGAAAATGGTTTATAGTAAGTCAAACTGAAAATATGGACATAGGCTGTTATGAACTTTTTACAAAACTTTTAAAGCGGAAGAATTCCGTCATACATGATTTTTGTGTAACTTTTCCCGTTTACCCAGCGCATGCAACGGAATCTCACAAATGGAATATTTTTACCCGTTTTTGCAACATTTTTCATCGATGGTAATATATAGCCTATAGCCTTCCTCGATAAATGCACTGTCCAATACAAAAATAATTTTTCATATCGGAACTGCAGAGCAATGTTGCATTCGATACAACGGGTCCTAAACTACGCAACGAATATTTTACTTGGAATGGAAGTTTTATAATTATTATGAAAAAAGTCATTGTGTATAATACAAACCTTTGAACAAAAACTTATACACTACAGCTCTACACCGAAGCAAAGCGAGGGCGGGCCACTTGTTGAATTATAAAATGGCATTTGAGTGATATGAACTAAATTGAACACGTCTAAGCTTATTCCTCGTTTATTAATAAGGCGGTAAAGTCTAAACGATAAGCTGCGTGGTCAAGCTCCAAGTCTCTAATAACTATTCAAATCTGTCAATGACCGCAAAAATATTTACAAACTTCTTAAAAAGTAAAAGTTGTACGTTAGTTACATTGCAAATGTTCTAAAAAGGTCGTTCCTTGTTTGTAGCTAATATAATTACTTTCATATCATTTTTTAGAACTAAGATTTTACTATAAATTCCCTATGGAATTTATATTAAAACCTCCTAAGCCTAAAGGGCCTAAGCTTATGCCCTATTAATCAGTCTTCCGTATATTAATAATTCTCGTACCCAACAAACCCCTCCCTTTTCATTATTTTCAGTTTATTCACAAGTTAAATTTCTTTATGCTAAGATATTAAAGCTGAGTTTACAACGCTTTGCCGACTGCATCCATTATTGCGACCGTGCATTCCCTCTGCTATTTATATAACTGGGAAAGGCACGGGTTTATGCATGATGGTGTTGAATGAAGAACATGGATTTGGTACTACGCTCCCGATTAGTATTTATCATTAAAATTATAAACGGGATGGTCACCAAAATGATGTGTAATTTGTATTTGCACTTCCTGATTAACCAATTTAATTTATTATATATTTTCTTCCAGTACGATACATCTTCTTATGGACGGACTCGGGATAAAGGGAGAACGTTGACAAGTAGCGTTACAGTGGACCGGCCGACTACCGTAACTGCTAAGTACCTCAATACCACGCCGTCATATAAATCGTCCAGCATCCCAGTACTTTCTGATAGATCTGAACGATCCTCGACCAAGGATGAATCACCCATATCAGCGATTGCTAGCCGGTATGCCAATTATGGAAAAACAGACAAAACTACGCCAAAATACGAAAAGAAAGATTATACGAAGCTTTCTGTACCTTCTTCGGTTACTGGTAAAAGTAGAGACGTCAGCCCTATATCGACAACTTCGAAATATAGCTATAATCGACCCTCGAGACACTTGAGTCCAGAGAGGAAAATCACGAAGAGTTTTAAAGAAAAAGTCCGAGATCCCAGTCCTGGGGATCGCGACAGAGACATTCCAAGCAAGACTGACAAGTCTTCAGGCTATAACAGCCTGTCGAGCTATAAATTATACCCTCGAAGTTCAAGTTATACACGACCTACATCTAGGCCGGAAGTAAAATCTGAAGTCACTGTCAATAGATATGCGATTGCGAACCGATTGTCGTCAAATTATCAAAGAAGCCCACCTACCGTAAAGGGAACGTCAGTTTCACCTGTAAATAATAGAGAGACCATTATAAAGAATGAGGTTGAAAAACCTTTGCCACCGGCAATTGCTCCTGATAACACGGCGAATATGCATAAAGAAGTAATTACTCAAAATGAGAAAAGTTTTCATGAAGAGGTTGATGAAACCGAAACTGTTACAGTTATTACTAGACATACGTCTCCTACCCCACCTGGCTCATCAGCATATGTAAGAAATAGAAGGGCAGACATGGCGAAAACTTTAGAAAAAACTTTAACCCGGTCCAAAAAGAAACCTGAAATGATTGACAAAGAAATACAATCTGATCGTATTGACGATACAAGCCGCTCTAGTAGATATGGAAGCACTTCTAGAGCTAGTGCCACTAATTGGTCTTATTACTCGCCAAATAGTTATACTGGATATGCCGGTCGATATTCCACACAATATTCAAACCTAAGAGAAAATTCAACTGGTAATTCGTGTAGCGATAGAACAAGTCGAAGTCATAGCACAGAAACTCCATCGAGAGAAAACAATAGCGTAAGTCCTTACTCTGAAAATAGTAATAATAGCAATAAAAATAAAATCACAGTTAATAATATACAAGAGACAAATCAAGAAATTGTAGCGGTATACGAACAAAGTAAAGAAGATGATATACCAGAAATTATTATTAACGTTAACCTTAAGCTAAAGAGGGCTAAAAGTCCAGCATCAACAATAGGAGCAGCTGAATTAGTATCCCCCGAATTGACAATTACTAATAGCCAATTACCTCCTCAAGCACCTAAATCAGATGCACTTATAAAACCAAAGAAAACTAAAATAAGAAAAACAAGTACAGATTCATCTTCTGACTCTTCTTCCAAAAAGAAAGTAGTAAAGAAGAGAAGCAAATCAGTAAGTTCAACAGATTCAGATCAAGTCAGTGAAGGAAACAGCACGAATAAAGATTCGGTTTCTGTGTCTTCAAAAAGTATTAAAAAAACATCATCAAGCAGTAATTTACAAAATGGTGTAGCAAAATTGAAACATTCCAAATCAAGAGAAAGCAATAGCCCTGAATCAAGCATTACTTTATCAACCCAATCTTCCATAAGCGAAGATGAAGCTGTGTCGCGCTCAAAATTAAATGACATTTCCAGAACTTCCGCTGATGATAATTCACTACCGACTGATAAATCTGCTAAACAGTCATCACCTTTAATGACTCAAAAAAATGATAGTGGTGCTGAAGAAGCGAAATCATTTTTAATAAGAGCATTGGCGCCAGTCACAAACCTTTTCAAAATAAGACATCAAGAATCGAGTGACAACAGTAGGTGGCCTGATAATTCGACTTCGGAATCCACAGGAAAAGATGTATCTAATCTTATTACAGAAAGTGACAGATCAAGTAAAAGCAAAAATATGGTAGCCACAAATGACGATAATGTTGTTAAGCTGAAAAGCATCAGGCACATCGAATCTGGCGAAAGAGCTTGGTGGTTAGATTCAGAATCTGACAAAAAATTGTCTGAAAACCACCATTCTGGCTCAGATAAAAATATACCAAACGTGATTCGGCATGTAGAATCCGGAGAGAAAGCATGGTGGCAAGAGTCAAATGGAGATATCAACGTAGATGCACAAACAAATCACGTTAATAATATCGAACATTCCGACTCTAACAAACAGTTAAAGAAAAGCAAATTTGTTGATGATGAAAAGCCTTGGTGGTTGGACAGTAGTGCAAATATACCAGAAGGTATAGAGAGATTAACACCACCTCGAAAATTATCTAGTGACAGTGAAAAAAGTGAAAAGTATAACTTTTTCAAGGTTCGTCATGTACCTGCAGAGGAACAAAAGGACTGGTGGCTTACAAGTAATGAAAACTCATTGCATAGCAATAAGCCTGAATCGCAAAATAATTTGACTAAATCAGGATCAGATCAAAAGAGCTTTCCGTTAAAGAGAATTCGACACGTTGAATCAGGAGAAAGGCCCTGGTGGCTGTCTAGTGACAAAAACATTCCAGAAGGTATAGAAAAATTACCAACTCCTCCTCCCCAAGACGACAGCGATTCTTCTGACTCAGAAGAAGTTCAAGTATATGTGCCTCCATCCCATATTCCACCATTTCCTTTACACTTACCAGACGATGAACCATTGGGTGATAGAAGAAGCCCTGAAGGTCTTGAAACGCCGAGAGAGAATGAAGATTATGAAGGTCGTACCTCACCATATGAAAATAATCGTCATTTCAGGAGAAGAAGTCTGTATACAAAGGGAATGGATAGATATATATCGCGCTACACTGATATTGATGACATTTTAGGGACATCTGGACAAATATATAGTCCTTTTATGCATTCTATTCTGGCACGAAGGACTGGTCAAATGACCTATGACGACGATGAATGTGAAGAAATAGATGCCACCCAAGTGAGAATCCATGACAGCACTGCACAGCGACCGGTTATCAAGAAACTTCGGGGCAGGTAAATGATTTTATTAAAAAAAAAATATTACTAGCAGCCGCTCGCAACATTTTCCGCGTTAACTTTAATTTTTTGAAAATCCCGCAGGAATCAGATATTTTTTTTGGGAAACAAGTATCGAATGTCTCAATTCAGGTCCTAAACTATATGTGTACCAAATTGTGTAATTTAGTAAGAAACATACAAACTTTCACATTTATAATATTAGTAGGATCATAGATGAATGATTGGTCTCGCTTCACTCGACTAGATACCGCGCTGTCAAAAAACAACAGCTCCGTAAATGCGACAACTCATTATTGTAGTGTGTGTATGTCAATTTGCAAGGATGCTATCGAATGTCATAAATCATGTAGCCAGCTGCTCAATTGCTACCCGACTAATAGGGAAAATATTGTAGATTGTAATTAATATGTACCAGGTTATAAATGTAACTCTTAATATACTTAAAGAAGATGACCTTAATTAAATGCGAATATATCAATATATTTGTGTACTTATACGATAAGGCGTAGGTTTCTTCTTCAGAAAAATTATAAGGGCTCAATTTTTTTATTTACATGTAATATTTACTTGTACATTATTACAGTGATTCAAGAGTGATAAGTTGGTCACTACATACGAGACATTATTGTAACTCAGAAAGGAAGCTGAGTGTGTAATGATCAATGCACACAAGCTGAATATGACGTTTTTCAATACAAATTCCGAGGAAAAAACAAACTTGTATTGTTACTGTTATAAAGTTCAACTGACCTTTGTTGCCAAGTATCCTGACATTCCGGAGCTACCTTCTAAAACTTTTCAAAATCGGTTGGTGACAATTACTTTTGACTTTCGGCCAATATATCCGTCAGAACGTCTCTTTAGAAATGTCGTCAAGTTACTATATGATTAAAAATCAACTGGCAGCAACAGCCTTTCACTCGCGTTTCGTGCCTCGATAAGTATTTCCGGCGGGGTTAAATTAAAATTGTGCAAATACTATTAATAAATGCTAACTAACTTATAATATAACAAATAGAACCGATTTCAAAAAAACTGAAAATGAAAAAATAAGATTTACCGACTGATATATTTGAAGGCGATCGTTATTATTATCATTATCTCCCTGCTAAATACATGCCTTAGTATCGACTTCATATCAGGTGGTAAATCAAATACACACATACAAATACAATACAAATTGAAAAATATTCAATGTTCGATGTGAAAAACAAGTAAGCATACCAATAGTCGAGTTTAAAATAAAATATTAAAGTGAGATTACAGTAACAATATTGTATAATATACAATGAACAATTAACATTTAAAGAAAATTAAAACAGCTTAAATTTATATTTTATCACCATCAATTTTATTCTTACTGAATTTGGTATATGGCTAAAAGATCATAATCAATAGTGTGGTCCTTGTGTACTATTTTTTTTAATTGCTCGTTTCGATGGCCCAGATCGACAAACTATCACTATTAACCTAAAGTCATATTATAACAGTATTTTATATAAAAGTAATCTCCTTAATTTTTCAGAAATGAAGTCGCTAGATACCGTGATGAAGATCAAGTAAGTACATAATCATTACGATTAATGACAGAAACTTGTATGACTACACCGAGTTTGAACAAATAGTGTGCTACTAAAATAAATTGCATCTTTAATAACGTCAGCTGTGTGGGCAAAAACTGGCCGACCACGTCAGGTTATTAAGAGAAAAAGAAGCAAGCGTGAGACCGTGTTACTTGCACGAGAATTCTACATACAAGGCTTGATTTGAATTGAGTGAGCTACTTAGATAGGACTTTATGTTCTTTAAGTTCGATTCAAGTGGATTATAAACTAGAGCTTTTAATATTTTCAACACAAAAAGTTGTACAAAAACACATTTTTTTTCTTCGGAATATATTTTATTCGATTCGGATATTTATTAATATTCCCGTTTAAAAATTTACCACCAATATGAGATTGATGAATAAAAATAAACATAACATAATATCAGGTGCGGTGGGGTTATTTGTAGCGCCTTGTATAAAAAAAATAAAAACGAGAAAATCGTAATTAAAAAACAATGATACTTTGAAGGTCAGTGTTTTATCAAAGTTTTATGTAATCACAAATTTGATTAATCACACTTATCAATAAAAGCCATTTAAAATCATTCTTTCAATTGAAGTTTATAAACTAGAAAAGCTACAATATGCGTTGTTAGTACTGTTGGTGAGCCTGTTTTAGTTTTTTTTTAGATTAATTTTTATATTTTTGTTCGCACGGAGCTTTTTGTGGCTTAAGTAAGGCTTCAGTGGTACTCAGACGCAAGCAAGCGCGACCGCAGTGTCGCATCCTTGAATCGGTCCCCTATGGGAACACAGTGCAGGAGCGAGACAGTGATAGTCCTACACTGACATTTTAGAGAGGTGACATCATACTCCAAGAACCACAGATTCGACTCGCATTCTATGATCAATTAACAGATTGACTTAATTTTACAGTAATCTGTAATAATTAAAATCTACTTAAATTTAATAATACAATAATATTTACGGCATCCACAAAATCTACACCAATTTTTATGCAATACAAAGATTATAATACTTACTGCTTTATTATTTTATTTTATCAATCAATTTTAGAAATCAATATAAAAATATAAATATACCAAAAGTTAAATTTAAACCAAATAACCAAAATTATAATAATTTATTTTGCATTTAAAAGAAATATAGCACATACACGTCTCTTACTATAATTAGACTTTTATAAGGCTTCAACTCATTCACAATTCGTCTGTGTCTAATATGAAGTGCCGGTAGTCCCATGCGTTAAGCAACCACGTTGAAAGCGGCCTACGGTCGTGGTCGCGGTGAATTTCAAGTAAGGCCGTAAGTGGATACCAAACTTAGCCGGTTAACAGCGACGTCAAAATTTTACCTGAGACAACTTGCTACGCGCTATGGAGACTTCTTTAGTGATGCTCGTGTTTCCGATGTAGACGGCAGTAGCACGGAGCTACTCTGCGAAATACATAAAAAAAACTTGAACAATGCAGTGATGTTGTGTTAGTTGGTGTTTTGATCTCAAGGAGGCGCAGCAATAAGTTTACTCGTCCGCACTTTTTTCAAATACTTTTGAACGTGGAGCTGGTTCTACTTGTTTTTTTTAATCTTTCCTACCAACTGCCTATGGTAAAATTGTTTTCTATTGTTTATTTATTGGATGCTTTTTTATAAAATTTTGCAATTGGTCATTCTTAATTTGTTTGTATTTGATATGCACCTAGCTTTGTAGAGATGCTAAATCCAGGCGAAAGCATCTATCTGTTATTGAAATTGAAAAATGTATGACCGAGGTTGCAAGGGAAGTGCATGAATAACAAGGTCGTATCTTTATTAATGTAACAAGAAAAAAGAACCATTTTTTAAAAGTCGAAAGTAGTTGCAGCCCCCAATGAGTGAAAGAGCCGATGCAACGTGCACCGGTTTTGGTACTGGAGGTTTGGTTACTTATTACAAAGCAATCGTATTTTGTTATCGAATCGATGTTTGTTTCATTGAATATAACATGCTCGGTAACTTGTTATTTATTTACAAATACAAAGTTATTGTTGACGTAGTTATAGACACTAATTTAATAAACACAATGAAACCAATACACATAACAACACGTCGACACGGCTTATGGTCAGTTTGATAAATATAGGGCTTTAAAGTTTATCTTAAATTACATAAATATTATATCGATGATCTTCTATATACATATATGTATTTTACAATACTATCCTATATATTACCGATATATTTACAGTTAAAGATACAAAGAGGAAATTTAAATTATAATTCATTCTTAAATGCATACGATACATTTAACGCAATACGTATCATATAAAGTCCTGTTTTGAGAAATTTTATGTGTATTTTTAAGTTCTAATTTCATTTAACCAAATTTAACGAGGTTAAAAAGCTTGTGTATTTTTAATAGTGCTTCATAGTAATCATAAGATCGCGTAATTAATCCCATGAATCAAGAGAAAATAAAAAGCTTTTAGGTATTGCTCAAGTGAGACTTTTATCGGAAGATAACATTTTCGCACCTCCGAACAAAAGGTGGTAATTTTTAATGAAAACAATGTAAATCTCAAACAAAGACCTTATCGACGAAAACAAATTAAAATTTGGCATAACAAAGGGGTGAACTGCGGCCTTGAGATTTATCGAATTTTTATCTCAAGTTTCTGAGAAAACTTTTAATGAGCGGTAAGGTACGTGCTTCAGTCTATTAAGTAGTTTCAAGTATTATCTTTAATGGTCAATCTTAATATGTTACTCCTCAAGTACACTTTTTCTGAAACATTCGTATATTGATGGTTATATTTACTTGCAGCTTTTTCATGGATAAAAGAAAATTTATCAGAATCCCTTCCGCTCTTTCCGAAATTGATTTTTCGTGAAAACTTAATATGATTTTAATAAATATGGAGCCTGACTCTGGTATGATACTGTAAGCCTCCAGAATCAGCCCCATTGCTTATTTAAAAAAAAGATAATTAGACCATCTACACTGGGCTGCAAAACTAAGTATCTCATTTTTTTTCTAATATAATATAAATAATCTAAGCAATAGAAGTTACAGATTTAAAATAATAAACGTTTTATAGCAACTGTTATGGCTTTCTTTGAAACTTGTATACAAAATTAAAATCTTTTTCGAGTCCTTTTTATTTCAATATTATATCTTGTGTACCTACTTAAAAGTTATTGAAATTTTAATCGTGATACTTAGTTTTTCAGGCCAGTGTATTTAAATGGATTTAGAATAGCAAATTTTACATTTTAGCTTAGTAATGTAGTTCTGTGGTAGACTCCAAAGTTAAACTATTATGTTGGGATTTTTACACTGTACCTCTAGAGATTTATAAGCAAGCTGTTATTAAATAATAATAACCGTTTGTTTGCAAACATCCTCAAGACCTAATATTATATCTTTGAATGTTATTAATCTGTACTCTAAATGAAAGATCATATAATCTTAGTATCACAAGTCTCTAGAAGTCTAGAGATTCTAAATACTAGCTACAGATATTTCAACAAACGTTACATGAGTAACATCACCTGCAAAAATAAACCTACTGGTTGTGTTTGCCATTGACCGGTTTGAATCAAATTTATTGGGGGTATCGCATTATTATACGAAAACGTATTATTATTTTCTTAACTGGTCTTTGAGACGGTTACGATCGATCCGGTATAGATGTATCGGATCATGATCGTGTCAAATATTTATGTTTAAAAACGCTTAGAAGGGATCGAATATTTTCTCGTAATTTAATTATAATCCTCACATCTGTTCCTATCTTAATTTGAATTAATTAATTTGCGTTCTATCTCAATTTGAAATTAGCTTCAAAATCTTCAATTCATATTTTTTTTATTACTTTTTAGCACCGACCTTAATTAATATTCTTTAAATAATGATTTTATTATCCTTAAACCATGAACTTGAATGTTTAGTGCCTAAGTTAGTACGAAATAATTGGTATGGCTGGTCGAGTCTACAACTCTCTACGAAGAAAACGGATTGGCATTCGAAGTAAGATAATAAAAACAGGTTAGGGAGACAGGTGATGGCATGAAAATACCACGAGAGCAGCCAAGCTGAACCTTTGAGCGATTGTTGACGATTCGAGTCATTTTTTCCTCGGGGTTGCAACGAAAAAGTGAAAAAGTTTTATTTCCAACTTGAGCAACTCCTTCATCGGCGATGCCATCTCTTTGTTTTCGGGAACTAACCAGTTCGTGGTCATAGAACTTAAATGTAGAGTTCTTAGAAAATTTTCAAGGATCGAGGTATTTATAATTTAAACGTAACTGAGAGATGTGTGATAGACATTTCTGCTATGCAGAATAGCATCCTGCTTCACCCGCTTCGGTGTCTAATTGGAATTTCTGAAAAGTATAGAAATACTTTACCAGGGTACGCCTCAAAACTACCAAAGCGTAACATAAAAATATAAAAAAAACTGCTAATATACGTTGGTATGAGAAATATAAGACTGCGCTAAAGGAAAAAAATATTTTAAGTTCGCAAAATTCAAGGCGAAAAAAAGTGACGTAAATATAATATTAATTCAAGTTTATTTTATGATTCAATTTAAAATTGTAATTAGAGAGAAAAAAAATGGTCTGAGTTTATCTGCTTTATAAGGTCGAGTTTAGTTTGTTTTTTAGATTTCATTAGCAGCAAACGGGTTGAGAAACTACTCTTAATTCTTGAGACTTTCCAAGAGCCTCTTAATGCGTTAGAAAATCACATTGTAATTGCAAAAAGGCGAATGCTATTCCAACAACGATCCTTGGTGTGATGAAAGATAATACCTGGCAAATACGAATGACTGTAAAATTCAAAAGCTTGCTTGTGATAACTATACCGAAAATGCCGAATTTAGTTCACAGTAATATTTCACCGGGTTTAAAAAATTTGATACTTTATTTACTGAAAAAGATGGTTCAAAAGTGCTGCTACTACCAACGTAACCTTGAGTGGACATTAATTCAACTTGATTTATTTTCAAAACAACAATACGCGTGAACAATGATTGCAGTTTTTAACACATGAAAATAGTTTATTGAAACAGTGTCATAATCAACTTTACAGTGTACAATGGCGCTGACTTGTTTGTTAAACCAACGCTGTGTATTTTTCATAGCTTTTCGTGTAATTAAACAGTGTTTTTTTTTAAGTGACAAAGGTACTAATTACTTTTACAGGGAAAGTCCCA